TCCTGAAAACAACTTGTGTATTTATAGAAAATGTTTAGTCTAGATGTTGCTATAAATAAAATGAAAATATAAAAAAATGTTGCGTTTTTCATATTCTATTCAACAATTTTTGTTAAAATAGTTACTAGTTAAAAGCTTATATTATGTTTTAACAACATGTAAGATCTAAATTGAAACATGTCTAATTTTTGCAAGTATATTAAATAAATTAATATAATTGTTAAATTAATACATCTTAAGTTTCTATCTTAACTTAACTGGTTGTTTTAATTTAGGTTATAAGTTAATTTACTGTGATGTACTCTATCCATTCAGTAAAGTTAACTAAATATAAATTCAATAGTTTCAAGGTCGTTAAAAGGGAAAAGCGTGAAAGCAAAAAAGTTGCTGGTTTCTATTAGTACAATTTTACTAATAGAAATTTTATTTAATAATAACGAATTAATATATATTTTATTATACTTAAAGTAGTAAAAATAATTATATAAAATTGTTTATAAAATAATAATTTAAATTATTATTAATAAGTTAATTTGGAGCAACGTTTGCTTTAAAAAAAGATAAAATTGCTGTTTTGTTAAAAAAATAGAATAAAGAAAAAATTCTGTTTAACTTGAGTGTTTTTAATTTGCTACTAAGCAGAGATTTAAAGTAATTTAAATTAAAAAGTGCTTTACGTTGAATAAAAATCTCCTTGCGAAAGAGCAAATGATCATGCTTCTATTTAAAAGACAAACTTTGTGTGACGTACTTTACTATGAAAACATTACTTTTTAAGAATTGCCAAAAGAAAAAGTTAAATTAGAAAAAAAGTAAATAAACAACTAAAAAAGTAAACCAATTGCAAAAATATGTTTTAAGAAAAAACTAACGCGAAAAAATAAAAAGCAATCGCTTCTTAATTCGAGCCCTGATATATATATATATATATATATATATATATATATATATATATATATATATATATATATATATATATATATATATATATTCATATGTTAATTCTATAATAATTCATCTTACTTTATTCTTAGCTATATTGAAAAAATTGATTTACTTAAAAATAACAATTGCATTAAAATAGCAAAATGTGCATTTGTCATGCTTAAATTATGCCAACCAATTACTGTATATTTTAACTAATTGCTCTATATATAATACTTTTAGAGGAGTTTGTAGCTCACAGTGCAAATGTAACATGTTTAGCTATGGGACCAGCCTCAGGAAGAGTGATGGTTACTGGTGGTGAAGATAAAAAAGTGAATATGTGGGCTGTTGGAAAACCTAATGTTATTCTTGTGAGTTACTTAAATTATTTTTTATTCTGATGTTTTTAATATAAGATATACATTGATTAAGAATATGCATTAGAGTACAGGGAGAATTTTTTTTCACTCTAAAAGCTTAGGAAAAGATGTATTCTTATTAAATTAAATTTAAAATAGAGTTTTCTAAAATAGTTTTTTGATCTGATGAGGTTTGATACCCAAATTTTCACTTTAAAAAAGTTCTTATTTAAAAAAAAATGTACTAAATTTTTACAAAAAATTGAATGAAAATAATATTTGTAGACAATTGCAAGTTTGTTTGATACTTGTTTGATAGTTATTTTTTTGCATAGATCCTATATGCCGTGCAGATTTCGCACTTTTCAGGGGAAGAATGAGGGGGCATTAAATATATTTTTTTATAGAATTTTAATAAATAAAAAGTTCTTTAGATTTCTAGTTTTTCAGACTTTCTTATTTTGTTTTAGAAATAAAAATGAAGTGGTGTTAATGATGTATTTCAATAAAAAAAACAGGTGGAATATCCCTTATTTTGATAACACTATTAAAACACTATTAAAAAACAATAAGTCTATTGATATTAAAAGTTTAACTCTTTGTTTTAAACACAGATGACAACTCTATGTTGAGCTTTAGCTCTATTGTACCTATCTCTTGCATCTGGTCCAATTACCAACATATGTGCTAATGTCACTTGTTTTACAGCATGCTCAGTACTTTGGGTATGAATTTTGAAAGAAGGAGTTGTTAAAGGTGTCAATCTTAGCTATAACATCTTATCTTTAGTAAGCGAACTAGTAAAAACAGGTTCTTGTACTTCTTTGTTTTTCCATTTAACTAGCTTTTGAAGAGCGATTGCTGCAAAGTTTAGTTTAGGTGTTTTTATTGGTCGAATTCGCATATCTCAAAGGATATCATTACCCCTCTGTTTCAAAATATGGTCAACTGCAAAGTTGCGGTCTTCTGCATTATTACTCGATAACAAAGAGAATAAAATACTTTCATGGTTTGCATACCAAGCTCCTAACTGAATGTAGAGAATCACAATTTCACTATCAGGTTAATTTCTGAGAATTCTCAATTGAGAAAAAATGTGATAGGGAGCATCTTCAAGTTTGTCTTTTACTTTTATGTCAAAAAAAAGTTTAAAGTACAATTGTAAATAGAATAAGACAAGTAACTCTAGATTCTTCAAATTCTGCTGAGTTTCCTTGTCCACATAAAGACTATTTTCATGCCAGTTGTGAACCATCTGGCATGACTTAAGGGTCCACATTGAATTTCTATTAGATTAGAACACACCAATCTTAACTACTTTACATAGCTTGTAGGATTGTTTTTGATCCGTTGACATATTTTTTAGTATTGTTTTTGGAATATCAACAAAGCTGTCTCTGTTTGGAAGAGCCTTGAATTAAAGATTATACCTTTTTTTATTAACACCAGAAAGAAATTTTCCCGCAGGACCTTCAAATCCAGTACTACATGATATTAGTCCATCAATTCCTTCTATTAGGTGACGCTAAAAATAACTAATTTAAATGAAGCATGCATATTGCCCAGTGGCACTTGTGACCTAACAGCTTTTCGAGATGCACTATAGCACCACCTTTCCAGCCGGTGTTAATTGGATTACTATCTGCTCCAAGTAATAAACATGGTTCAGTACGATTATGTTGTCTTGGCAAAAAATAAACACCTTCAGCAATTTTTTTAGCCAGCTTATCTAAATGAATAGGTGCATCTGGGCTAAAATGACCAAGATATTGTTTGCCAGGCTCTAAAATCACGATAATGCGTTGCTCTTTGATAGGATATAACTGTGCGTTTAAATCATTTATCATTGCCCTTGTTGAGTCTTTTCTTCCATCAAAGTAAATACCAATATCTGCATTTGGAAGTTTTGAATTATCATTTTTCTTTGCATCCACTATGACTTTTTTTCCTTGCTCTTGTCACCTTAGAAGGATCACAAGCAAGTTAAGAAGATTCAGGGGTGAAAAATCCTGCTTCAATTGAATCTTGCAGATAACTTGTAGCAATTACTTTTAATGTCCAAATGTGAAAGTTTGGGTATCAAGACATTTTCTAATCAAAAAGTGGTCCATAGCAAACCTACCTTGAAATTTAATTGGACATAAAAGTATACTTTTTCCTAAATAGCTTAAATTTATTTATTTCAAAAACATAAGAATCTCACTGTACCCTAATATGCATTGTAGAAGATAGTGCATTTAATAAATGAAACATTTAAAAAATAAAAATAAAAAAAAATATTGTACACATAACTTACTTAATTTACTTTCCACAAAATTAAAATTGATTTCTTTATCAATCTAAAGCTGAATAACCATAACTTGTTGCCAATTTAGTAATTTTATTAGTCTTAAAATTCAAATCATTCATTATACCTTAAAAGTTTTGGTTCTGCTAAAGCTTTAAAAAAAGGAATTAAAACTTATTACAAAACTCGATTTAAAGACAATGTCTTTAAATTGAGCATAGTATTGAGTAAAGTATGTCATTGAGTAAAGTTATTTCTTTCTTTTTTTTGTGAAAGATAGAGCAATTTTAAAATAATCATTAAGAGTTCTTAAATGCCATCAAGCAAAAGTTAACTTATGTTTGATGGCATTTAAAAGTTAACTGTTTTTTTGTTTTTTGTTTTATAATAAATGAACAAACCTAAAAACTTCATTCTTAATAAAAATTAAGTAATCATGCAAATTTAATTTTTGAATGAATGAACTTTTGATCTTTAGCTAGCTATGTTATTTTACATTAGGAAAACGAAAAATTGAAACAAAAAAATTTTTCAGAAAGTTTTGTTCTTCATATGTTTTTCGACTTAAATAATAATAAAAATATCTTATAAAAATATTTAATAATAAATCTTTAATGTTTAAAAAAACCCTTATAAGATTTAGTGAATGTAATCTTTTTTATAATACTTAATCATTAAAAAATATATATCATACTAACATATAAATTGATATAATTCATAAGAATTATATTAATTTATATGTTAGTATGAAAATTTCCTTATAAAAGGTTGCACAATGTTGCTTATAATGATTAGTTTACAGTTAATGTTTTATATAGTTACAGTTAATGCTTTTTTAAATATTTTGATAAGATCGTTAAGAAGTTAAGAATACACAGTATTGACCATTACTGTGTAATGACTTTTCCAGTATTGGAAATGTGTCAGTAATTCTCTAAAAACATATAAAATTGCAGGTAATATTCAACATAATGCTAGATCTAGAAGATTAAAAAAACTACAGAACTCAAAAACAGAGTAAATCCAAGATTAACTTATTGTAAACTAAACAAAAGATCCAACAAAAACTCTGAAGAGCATCTTTCTTCATATATATTTTAATTAGGAAAAGCATTGCTATTTATGCAACTGTCAAAAAACTTGTGGGGATGGCCAGAGATTAGCTTCCAAGATTAAGGTAGTGTAAGAAGTTAATTAAATGTTCTTTGAAAAAGTGGGAGCAATTAATATTCTGTAATTAACTTAGAAGTAGTAGATAAAAAAAAAAAAAAGCAAAATTCTTGTTAAAAAATTAAAATCTAAAAAAGTACAGTAATTGCATTGTTGTATCAACGTTGCAAGTTTGTGGTGGGGGTGTTGGAATTTAGGGCTGCTTTAATTATTATAAAATAGGTTTGTGTAACATTTATACAGGCTAAATCAACCAAAATGACTATATAAAGGCACTCGAGAACTACATGATTCCATCACTAGACATGCTGATTGATCAAAAGAATGGTGACAGTTTTATCAAGGTATGGTGCCTGTCTACACAGCTTGAGCAACTAATGCATTGATGAAAGCTAACAGTAGTTTTTTTTTTTTTTTTAACATTTTCATTTCCAACAAGAATGCAAGCAACCACTATTTGAATTGGAAGTTACTGGAACAGAAAAGATGAAGTTTATAGAGCAAGATAATGATTGACAAACGACTTGAAAAGATTGCAAATTACATGAATCAGGAAAGCATGATGAAGGAAGCAAGTTCTAAAGAACTGATGTTCGAGGAAAAAAACTAGATAATAAGAGTTCTTGGAGCGTTTAGGAACTGTCACCGTAAAAGGATGAGACTTAATTGAATGACGAGTTAGGCGAGAATGAATTTTAGTAGATGGCACAAGAGCCACTAGCTATTTAGAGCAGTGCCTGTTAAAGTATTTGTAAAAAAGAAAAAGAGAAATAACATTATGATAATGTGATAATGATTGGAGATTGGCTGCATCAGCAGGTCCAACAATGTTTACAATCCTTTTTTGCACCTTGTCTAAAAGAGAAAGGGGATCATTGGAAGATCCACCTCAGATATAGCAACAGTATTCCATATGAGGACAGATTTGAGATTTATAGAGATAAAGAATAAAATCCAGAGTAGGAAAGTATCGAGCACGATAAAAAGGTAGAACATTAGCAGATGCTAATTTTGCAATTGATTTGATATATGTTTTCCAAGAAAAATCAAGAGTTAATCCAAGATGATGAAGGGTTGATGACTCATTGAGTACATTGCCATTCATAAATTTAAGAAGATATAAATTATTGCGGTTATGATTGGGATTTTATTTGAATTAAAGTTCATCAGCCACTGTGAACTTCATGCTGTAGCAGAAGTGAGATCCTTTTCAAGCTTAAATGCCCCCTTCAAGTAATCAGAGAGTGTTGGCTTTTTTATCAAGACAAAAATAAATTTTAGTATCATCACTAAACAATGCCACCTTTGTATAAGGCCAAGGGTGGAACTTTCAGAATGGAAAGTTACAGAATATGAAGAAGAGTGCTGTTTATCGAGGACAACTTTTTTGCTACGATTGGAAAAGTAGGATTCAATAATCTTAAAGATGTTACCTGATACACTGTAAGAAGATAGCTTATGAAGAAGACCAGCATGCCAAACTTATCAAAAGCTTAAGAAATGTCAAGAACAATTGCCTTAACCTCTCCACCTTTATCTAATGCATGATAAAATATATCCGTTATTACTGTTAGCAAATCAGCTAACAGTAATAACCAATTTATTTTTTTTATTTAAGTTATTCAAGATAAGAGATTAGGTATTTGTTAATTAAAGATTTAAAAACTTTGCTTATGATAGGAAGTAGACTAATGGGATGGTAGTTAGACGAGTCCGATTGCTCTTCAGAATTTTTGAAAATAGGAATAACAGATGCCACTTTCCAGCATGACTCTGAGAAGCACTAGATAAACAGTTTTAAAAATATAGACAACAGCTATAGAGAACACTTCTGCAAGACTACACAATGTAGAAGAGTCTATGTAGGAAATCACTTTAGATACAGAAGCTGGAGTGATACGAATGTCAAGCAATGGATCAACCTGTTTGTCGGCTGTATCAAGTAGAATGCAACTAGTGGAATCAAGAGATGATATTGATGAAAAGTTCTTAGCAAACAATTCAGCTTAATCTTTGTGTGAGGTGACAAAATCTGAACCGTTCAAGAGAGGTGGATTAACAGATTTGCCCTTCATTACATATTGTTATTGATACTGTTACCCGTTGTTACTTATTGTTATTGATACTGTTAAAAAATTTTCAGAAGTCTCAAGAGCCTACTTTTTGAGATTAAATACAAGATTTTGTGACCTGAATAGCGCCCTTTGGCAGTAGATAAAACTTTTTTTCAATGGTTTAAAACTTTTTTTCAATGGTTTCTAGCAATAGTAAAAAGGTGTCTGTTTTCTAGAGATTTTATTTGCTGATAAATATGGAAGAACCAGATAGAAAAACCATGAAAAAGAGTGAGTGATAGAAGAATTAGCCAGCCTGAATTTTAAAAGTTATGTAAGAAGCACATTTATCAGCAGGAAGACAAGATTTCTAACCAAGGGCCATCACAAAAAAAATCACAGAAAGAGTCCCAGTCAGCTTTAAGGTAGTTGTGAGAGATATGATGATGGAAGGATTCTGATGATGAAGAAGAATGAGATTTATTTTTAGAGAGATCAAACAGTGATCAGAGTACCTAAGGGTGATTGTGGAGAAACTGAGCACTGATTAGGATCAGAAACAAGACATAAGTTGAGTAGAGAAGGTAAATGTTTCAGATTGTCTTGAAAGCGATTTGGAAAGTTGGATATTTGAGTAAGAAATTGAGAACGGCAAAAGTTGAGGGCATTATCGATTGCAGTGTCACTGACACTAGAGCCAAGCCATTAGTATGATGAGCATCACCAGCAACAAAAATATTGGCTGAAGAATAAAGAAAAACAACTTGGTTAAATAGATCAGAAATAACATTGAAAAAAATACAGTCTTGAGATGAAGAAGAGCAATATAGAATAAATCGAAAGGTGATAAAGTGAAGTGGTGCTAAACGAAAACACATAACAAAAAAAGTCTGAGGATTTAAATCTAGTTTACCGACAAATAAGTGAATTATTACGAATGTAAATGCCCTGGCCAAACATGCCCTGACTATTAGAGTCTTTACGAATTAATGGAAGATAACCATCAACACTAAGATCACAAGATGAGTCAGCAGAACTCAAATTATTCTCACAAAGATCAAGTAGGTCTGGTGAATTTTGCAAGAGATAAGACGTAACAGAAGAAAAGGTACTTTAAAGACCATAAATATTAGTGAATGATAGGTTTAGAGAACTTGTCATTTTTAAATTTGTTAAAGAACTTAACTCAAAGCATAGATAATACTCAGTACACTATTTAGTAGCCCAAGTAATTGGCTTATTACTATTAATAAACCCTCAGCCGTAACAAAAGTATGAACAGGGACACCATCTATGCGCAACATGACGCTGTTAGTACTCTGATTTTTTACAGCTGTTGACGGAATCAGCCTCTCTTAGAGCTACCAAAGAGTTTGGGAAAACTTACTACCAGCCGGCCTCAGAACCTTATAACTGAGTTTCAGAGCTATACCCTCATTAGAAAATAATAGAGTAAGTTGCCTAGTCATAAAAACAGAGACACAAGCAAAACTCATGCATTGAAGATCTAGCATTCAACATCCTAAACTGGAAACAATATATTATAAATACATCTGCGCCAGCCTAAGAGATGAAGAAGGGGTGTAAAGCTGGTCAACAAATAGTATCTTTTTACCCCTTAATTCTTTGCCTAGAATCTATTGCCCTATTTAGCTCTATCACTGGATTTAACTCCAATTAAATCTATTTATGCTTGAATAGACAAAAAATAAAAAAGAATTATGCTTGAATAGACAAAAAAGTCAAAGTGTAAATATTATTCATTATTTGCTAAAAGCAAGAACTATATGCTATTTGGAGAAGAGTTCCAATTGAAATTGCAAACATACTTGTTAAATAAATGCATTAAAGATGTGAAGCTTGCAAAAATTCATGTAATGGATATATAAAATACTAGTTTCAATGTTTATTTTTGTTGCTCCAATATTTTTTAGTTTTTGTTTATTGATATAGTATTTTTATAATATTTATTTATTTTTAACTGATGTATCATATTCTTATAACACTTATAAGTGAATTTTTTACATATTTTTCTAATGTGTTTTTATTTTTTTTATTTTTTTGTTATCAAGAGTTTATCAGGCCATACTTCAACAGTTGAATGTGTTCAATTTAATAATTCTGAAGAACTTGTTTGTGCTGGATCTCAGTCAGGCTCACTTAAAATTTGGGACTTGGAAGCTGCAAAAAGTAAGGTTGCAGATTTACAACTAGCCACTAGTTTTCTAATATATATATGTAATAAAATATATATATATATTTTTTTTTTACATATACATTTATTTATTTTCAATATTTTGTTTTTTCTTATTTTATTAATTTTTTTTTCTTATTTTATTAATTTTTTATTTGATTGAAATTATGTTAAAAACTTATTAACTAAATTTAAAAATAAATAAACAGTGTATTTCTGTCTATGCAGAAAAAGAAGCTTTTTAATGTTTAAACATTGAAATCTAACTTTGAAGAGTTATTGGTTAACTTTTGCACATTTTTGTTTATTTTTTGATAAACCAGAAAATTTTAATTTAAGTTATCTTGTTTTGTATAAACATTATTAAAAATTTTAAGTTTTGTTTCTCATTCTTTATTAGACAATACAGTATGAAATAAGGTTCATAGTTCTTTAAATGTATGTTATGAAAAATTATTTTACTGTATGATGAAAACTTTTTTTAAAAAAAAAGTTGTAAATGATTTATTTGATAATATTCCTATTATAAAATTTATCGCTATCTAAAAGTACAGACCTTTGATATTTTAAAAGTTTTTAATATTCAATACTAATTTTGTTTGAAAAAATTGTTTATGAAAGAAAAAACTAATATACTGTGTAAGTTATATAAACTGTTTTCCTCAAAAAAAAAAAATTTTTCTATCGTTCAAATATACATCTTTTGTATTTCAGTTTAAGTTTTTTTTTCAGTCAAACCAAACAAAAATGTAACTATGTTATTTCAATATGAAATCTCTAAAAGGGTATATTCTTGAGAAAACACCTAAATATGATGCTTTTTTTTTTTTTTTTTTAATTTTTATTTGCAAATGTGTGAGAAAATTAAATACATTTGAAATAAAATATAATATATTGTTTTAGTACAATAGTTTGATGGTAGAATGGTAGAAAGATAAAAAAACCTAAACAAAAATTCAAAGCACTATCATTAGCTATAATTTTTTTTTTTTTTTTTTTTTTTTTTTTTTTATGTTACTTTTTTGTATATATTTTTTTATACAAATATTGATAACTCATTCTATATAAACATCATTGAAAAATTAACTTTTAATAATATAATATATATGTGTGTGGTAATATATAGTTGTGTAGTGGTAGAATGCTCGCTTATTAAGCGAGAAGTTTTGAGTTTGAAGTTTTTTCTCCATGCAGCGGCCTCGTTCTTCAAGGTTTGTGTTTTAGAATTAAGGAGTTAAGAGAGGGTTTTGTAGCCACAATAAACCCTTGACTATAGTGGCCCTCTTGGTTATGGGAAGGTAAATAACATTAAAAAAAAATATGTGCATAATGCTAGATCATTACATATTAATATTTCAAATATAATTCAATAGCATGAAAATTAAACTCCAAAAAACTCTATTGATAATAGTTTGTGATTTTAATTACAGTTAAATGACTAGTATATGATAATTTGTTGTGTACATTATGTACACGGCTAAGTTTTATTATGCCACAAGGTCTGTATTTTTAGATAGCTGTGGTTAAGTTACGCCAAGTACTGTATTTCTAAACGATTTATGAGTTTCAATGCTTGAAGAACAATTTTCTGTTGTTATAGTTGTGCGCACACTCACCGGGCATAAAGCAAACATTAAATGTTTGGATTTTCACCCGTATGGGGAATTTGTTGCTTCAGGATCATTAGATACTACAGTTCGTGTAAGTTACTGTTATTATGAACATGGAGATTAATCATTTGCATGTTTTAATTTTTTTTTTCTTTTTGACATTTTACAAAATTTTGTTTTATAAGTACTATTTAGACAGTTTTTTATTTTTTGCGTTCTCTAAAGAAAAAAATCTTTTTTTTTTTCTACACAATTTTAAATTGGTTGTTTAAAATATTTTTTACTCAAAACTTTTTTTCTATCATTCATTATTATGATAACTGTTCTTTTCATTGTTTACATTCCTTATTATAATAACTTTTCTTTATTTTCTTTTTTTTTTTTTTGAACAACATTCAGTATTTAATTTAATTAGGTTTCGGTAAAAATACATACTAATTGACATACTAATTGTCAAAAAAACAAATAATTTAAAAATAATAATTTTAGCTTTTTTATCTTAATATAAGTTAACATTCAAAAATTAAATTCTGAAAATTTTGAATATTTTGTTATCCATCTTTTTTACTTAAGAGATAAATAATACAAAATCCATTAAGCACAATAGATAGCATAGGAACAAAAAATAGGTGCCAACTTAAATAACTGCATAATTAATAGATAATAAAGATAAATTATTTTATTATAATCTTTTCAAAATGTGTACCAATTAAGTTAATAATCTTTTTTTAGGTTTAAAAATAGTAAAAGCATAGCTAATAAAATAAAAGTTGATAGTATATTGTATATTAATAGTTTCAATAAAAGTATGACTATCAATAAAGGTTAACAATATTTAGCAATATTGTGTTTTATTATGTAAAATCTTGTTATCCCTAAATCTTTTTTTTTTAACCTGAAAAGTATTAATTTCGCATGGACTTTTATTTGCATCATAAGGTGATGTGAGTAAAAACCAGTGTCTGTATATGTATATTTCTTTGTGTTTTTCTTTAGTTATGGGATGTTCGTAGAAAAGGTTGTATTGTCAGTTACAAGGTAAATTAGAATCAGGTTTTTTCTATAAAAAATTCTTGGTTTTGCTTTTTTTTTTCAGTACGTAATTTTTTAGTAATAAAGTAGTACCTTATCTTTGGAGAAATTTCAGACACATATATGAGAGATCAAATGTTAGACTTACCTTGGTTAATGACATTGTTAAAGAATTTCCAAAAGTGTCTTGAACCTAACTGAGATATAATATGAGATTAGTATAAAAAAGATTTTAGCATCAGACAATTCTTTTCTGATTAAATTTATATATATATATATATATATATATATATATATATATATATATATATATATATATATATATATATATATATATATATATATATATATATATATATATATACTATTATATAAAAGCATTGCAGTTGTCTGTCTGTTTGTGGACATTTTGTTTTCTGAGGTAAACTTTCTTGCAACTTTTGTTTTTACATTTCTAACAGTAGTGTCAAATATTTTATGAAAATATATTTAAAATATATTGTTTTATATATTTAATTTTGGTAGGCATGTCGTTGTTGTTATTCGTTGTTGGTATTCACCTCCTCAAGGCCGAGAAGGCCACTACAGACGAGGAGGCTACTTAATAGAGGTTATAACCCTCTCTCAACTTTATAACTCCGAAACACGAACCTTGACGAACAAGTCCGCTGCGTGGAGAAACAAGTTGAGCGCGGTACTACCAGGGACGTGGTGGGGATCAAACTCGGAACCTCTCGCTTATATAGCGAGTTGTTTTGTTTTTTCTTAGCTAATACATTAGTATGTAGTGGGCTACATTTGATGTAGCAGACTATGAGGTAATTATGTCCTAGAAAGACATACAGAAAGACAAAAAATATTCATTTCAAAAAAAAGTTGTTATTTTTGGTTTTAAAAAAAATGTTATTTAACAAAAATTGAAAAAAAAATGCATTTTTTTTTTTTTTAATGATAATTTTAATAAGTTAAAAATTTTTCGAAATGAATATTAAATTTGAAATTTTTATATGATTTTGCTTCATTTGAGTACAAGGTAGACACATTTTTAAAAAAACTTTTTTTTGAAAATATTAGAGACTCATTAAATATTTGAGGGTCTTGGGGACCCCTATAAAATATTTTTTATTCGAAAAAAATTTAGACCTAGTGTTTTTACATTAGATAGAACACATTTAAGGGGGGGGAGCAGATTATTTACAAAAATTTTGTTTTAACAGACACCCTAATATATATATATATATATATATATATATATATATATATATATATATATATATATATATATATATAAAAATGCATAAATACATACACAGGGCGTTAGCCAGGAAAATATATATATATTATAGGCGTTAGCCAGGAAAATATTTTTTATCACGGTTTTGCTATATTAGGAATATTTAATATTATTGTTCTACAAAGTATTGGTAATTTTATTATCTATTACTTAACAAAAAAAAAAAGGTCATTGAATTTTGGGAATTTTTAAGTGCATTGTAAATTCAGTAGTATATGCAGTGCCTTCGGGCTGGCTAACACCCTGATATATATATATATATATACTAGAAAAAAAAGCAGAAAGAATCAGCTGATGCTTTAATTTAGATTTTATTATTTTTTATCCTTTCTAGGACATAGTTACCTTATAGCCTGCTATATATCTACTAAGTATTAATATATATAACAGGGATTATTATTTTCCGGATATTTCCTGAATTCCGAATATTTTTCTCAACTTTCAGTTTTTCCGGATATCAAAATTTTTTGCTATACATACAAGTTTAGGAATATATTTTTGTAATATATTTGCTTTTTAAGCATTTTCACTCATTATTCATACAAAAATTAAGAAAAGTTAAAAAAAAAAATTAATACAGCTCAGCTAAAATCAAAATTAAGGGGAATATTAGGGAAAATATATTTCGGATATTTCCGGATATTTTACCCTACTGATTTTCCAGATTTTTAAAATATGAGCTGGATGATCTATGATATAAGCATTTGTAACATTTTTTAAACTTTTATTTAGCATTTACATATTATTTAATTAATTTTGAATTAATAATATGAAGTGATATATTCAATGTTATCTTCATTAGTTTACTTGGCGTCAACGTTTTAAATATTTTTATTTATTTTCAGCATGTATTTTTTGCCTTTCACGTTTTATCCTGTTAAAACTGAAATTTTAACAGGTATTTTCATAACCATATGTTTTAAAAAATACATTAGCACAAACAATAGTTTTAGTATCCTATATTGTACAGTAATAATGAAGATAAATATTTAAATAAAATAAGTACCTAGATAATGTACGAGGGCTGATAAAATAATGGACAAAAACAATTTAAATAAAAAATAATTATTTATATAATTCAAATAATATATATTAAGTTCAAATAATTATGGGATCAATAATAACACAACTATTTTCAGGCTAATATCTTGTTATCCAATATAACAATATCTGGCTTTGTGATGAAGTAGGAGTGATCACTCAACGCTAGTAAACGACCGAGGCTAGTATTTGACTGTGGCTAAGGCCGGTGCTATGGTCGGGACTGCATAAACATTAGTGCATATTGACTAATTTTTATATAGCATGTCAATGTGCACCAATGTTTATACAGCCCCAGCCATAAACCTGACTTTGGCCCAGATCCAATACCAGCCCCAGTTGTTTACTACTCAGCACACATGAAACATGCCCATAAATAAGTATAAGTTTTAAAAATTAATCATTTAAAATTAATAAATTATAAATTATTAGTATTAAAAATTAATTTATTGAAAAAAAAAATATATATTTTTAAGTTGTGTAAACATTTTTTTTCAAAAAGTTGCAAAAAAAAATTGTTTAAAAAAATAACTTTGTCTTTTTAAAATAGTAATTTTTAATCATTTCATGCTTTGATTAGTAAGTCAAGTTTTAAAAAAATAAAATTTAATTTTTTGTAAAAATAGAAATAAAAATAAATAAAATAATTAAATCATGGAAAGATTGAAGTTAACTTATTCATAATTTATAGTAACTTAAAAGAATAATATTTTAAAAGATTTTTAGAAAGAAATGAAATAATAGTTTTTAGCGTTAAAAATTGTCAAAAAAAATCCATACTTACTAAAAAAAAATTTACTTAAAGCCTTCGTATAAAATAAAAACTTTAAAAAGAACAACAATTGAAAGTTATTTATAATTTAACAATATTTTGTTGCATTTATATTGTTAAAATATCAAAACAGACGTCATCAAATTGTAGAAAAATAACATCACTAAAATATACAATATTAAATTTTATTTTAAAAAATCTAGAAATAATCTAAGTAATAAGGAAAGAAACTTCACTAGGCTAACGTTAAATAAATTGATTAACATGACACAGATTTCGATTGCCTAACTTGGTTTCGTAAAACCATAAAAATTGTATTATAAAAATTTATTGGACACTGTCTGATCTAATTAAGTTTTGATCAGACATTGTATGTGACTTGATAAAAAATTAAATTAAGTTACCCTGAGTGTGTGTGTGTATATATATATATATATATATATATATATATATATATATATATATATATATATATATATATATATATATATATATATATATATATATATATATATTTAAAGTTTAAGTTTTTGTTAAGGGCATTAAAATTGCATGAAAATTCGTTGCCTTTCTTTAAAAAAAGTGGAGTAAAAGTTTAAGAAAAAATTCACAAGAAAGATAGTGCACTAAAGAAAGTACTAAAGACGCACTTTAGTGCTTTCCCTAGATGATATTTTGTCAGACTTCTAATGTGACTTCTAATGGGATGGGAAAACATTGTTTAAAAAATCATTTGCTAAACATTTTTAATGACTAAGTCACTGAAAATTTAATAATAACTTACTTTAGTAATAAGTTGAATAAAATTCTATAAATAACTTCTTTTTAAATTTAATTCTTAAGATAATTTTTTTTTAATAATAGTTCAACTATAAAAATTTCATTTGAAAATTTTTGTAAATTTTTTGAGAACGGTTATAAAATAAATAAGACTATGCGATATTCCATTGTTTTTATTTAATATCAAAGCCACAGTAACATGTTTTTTTTGGTAGATAGACAAATGCATTAACGAAAATACCAAAAAAAAAAAAAAGAAATCAGACAAAAAAAGCTTTTTTTGTCTGATTTCTCAGATTTCACATATAAAAAATTCAAACAAAAATTGTCCATCCTTTTTCTTGTACGCATTGGTATGCTTTTAGGTGACCCCCTCATACCTGCATACGTAATTTATGAATGACCCCATGGGAACCAATTTACTCAATTAAAAAACTTGCTAAGCATGCATAATCATTGATAACGTGTTTCAGTTTTATGAGTGCAAAATATCGTACTGGATAATTTTAGTCATTACATGCACTAAATATAATAAAATTTTTATATGGTAGCATATTTTATTTTATAAAGAATAAGAAAATTGGCTTATTGTTTCATCTACATAAAAATGTTTATTTCTATTAAATATGACCTTAAAAAACATAATGCATCAATCATTTCATCACTTAATGTTGTTTTAAGTTTAATAATGAATAAGCCTGCCACCCTGAAGCATCTTTCAGCTTCCACATATGAAGGTGACAAAGAAAAAAGGACTGAATTTAATTAATACACTTATAGATTATACTTTAAAAAAATGTCTTTTATATAAATATTTTGCTATCTTTGGAAGATCCTTTTTTTTTTTTTGATAATAAAGAATTAAGTTTTCAGTAATTTTATCATAACAATTTGGATTGTCTAAATATCTTTATTAGATATACCAGAGTTTCTTCTTTTCATTGATTCTTTTCTAACACTAAAGATCTTTACCAATGATACTTTTCTTTGCATTTAGTTTTGAACAAATAAATTCTAAAAAATTTCCACTTGTCAAGATGTCAATATCTTTTTTACAAAGAGCAGTAGCTTTAAACTTAATTATTTCTAAACACTCAGCTAAATCTCTTATAAAATCAACTTCTGATTTAGTGAGTATTAATTATCTGGCAGACAGGTTATTAAGAACGGGATATGAAGCAATTTTTATCTTTAGATATCTTGAAAGCGTTTTGATCAAAGAATTCCATCTTGTCTTTGTTTCAATCATTGATTGTTGTTTTCCAAGCACTTTAAAATGATGTTGTTGAAGAATATTGTTTTTGGTTAAAGATCTCCTAAATAACTCCTAAATTTTTCTGCCAATTGCCAATTGGAGAATGACAGGAAGAGTTGGACAACATCATTGTTGTCCAACTCTTCCTGCCATTCTCCACTTAGTTCATCATCGTAATCTTCATCAATTTCATCAACTTGGTAAGGTTCATTATCAGTTTTAAACTCTTTGAAATGTTTCTTTTTGTAAAGGACAACAACAACAGCAAGATCAATATCATTGGTGTCACAAATTTGATGAACAATATTTAAAAGTTTTCCTATTTTTTTAATCAAACTAGTACCATCAGTCACTTCACAGGGCTGATGACATGGGTTTCAAAGTTGGGAGGGAGGCTCAATTGTCAATTTTTAAAAAAGCTCTCTTTATATAGAATTTTCTTTAAAAAAAAAAGATCCTTTAGAACCTTTTCAAGGTTTAAATTAAAATCTTTAAGCTTTTTAAAATCTTTTTAAATGCTTTTTCTGCTGTCATAAAACCATTAATCTTTAACATGCCAAGAAATTGAACCTGTCCTTTTAAAAATGCAAATTTAAACCGATATGCTGATGATTTTTCTTTAATATCCATTCATCTAAAGATAATGAAAAACTAGTGTCTGCTTATTTCAATTTTTCAAAGTCATTAACTAAATCAAACTTTTTTGAAATATTCCAAAAGCTTACTTTACTTTTCATGTCTATTTCTTGGAATTTTTAGATTTTATGCTGCCCAGCAATTTTTAATACCAATACTTTTCTCCAGCTTAAAAATTGGATATATTATAATAAAATGAGATATACTGCAACCAGTAGCATAGCAAAGGGCCTGCAGCCACGGGAAGGCCCAGAGTTATTAGGGGCCCAAGCCCAATTTTTAAATTTTTTTTTAAAAGTTGTCATTCTTAATAATAATATGCATGTATATAAACATAGTAACATTAGTGATTTTTGCTATTATTACATAGCTAAGAACAACAAACTCTTTTTCAAACTATTTTTTTAGCTTTGATAATAATTTTCACTAATATTTCAAATAGTAAGCTTTTTATATATTTATATCTAAAAAAATAAAACAAACTGTATTAAATCATAAATATGCAATTTAATTAAGTGGTAAGTAGGATGTTGTAAGGTTTTAAAGCAAAGTACAAAAGTGAAGCCATTGTATAAAAACAAATAACTCACTTTAAAAAAATATTGCGAAGATTGACAAAAAAATATTGCGAAGATGGACAAAAAAATATTGCGAAGATGGAGGTGGCAGTGTAGTTATCTTCATTACTTATTTATTTCTTATGAAGTTAATTAATTCTATAAAACTTATCTCATATATATATCAGATTATCTTACATAGACCAAATAATGCTTATTTAATATAATATATCGCTGAATCCTTCAAATTAGGTTATAGCTTAATTAGGAAGCCCTGTGATGGCTGCTTCATTGTCGGTAATTTTAGCATATCATATTTCCTACGTCCAGACACCCTATCGTTGCTCAAACCGTATGTTGGACTTGTTGTTTACCTACAGCAGTAATTCTATTTTAAAATTGTTTCCTAATGCTATATTAGGTAATAATACTAAGGCCCGCTTTAGTATCACTTGAGGATTTCAACTTCAAAACTGTTTCCCGAAAAGTGAATCTCAGTTGTTTAGTTACAGCTAAGATGATTAGGATTCAATATGAAACTTTATTGCATCAATCAACTGGAATATTTTATTTCTGCATAAAACCGCAGAACAATTGTTTAATTTTTAACAATTGTATTTGAATTCAACAATTATTTAATTTCTAACAATTAATTTCTATCAATCGCGCTGTTAGCGAATATTTTATCCCAAAGATTAATAAAACAAAGAAATAGAATCCTAGGGTTACTCCACATATTATAAAGATAATCAGAGCGAAAAAATCAGCTTGGTATACCATCTGCTCAACTAAATGGAGGAATAATAAACTTAAAATAATCTATAAATAATAATAACTTTGGTTTTTCTATTTCAGACATTATTAACTTGCCAATCTAAACCCCTATAAATATTTTTTGCAACAATTCATTGATGTAATCTTGATTTTGCCAGCGTTGATTCTCTACCTTAAAACAGTTTTATGTTGAAATTAAGATATTTCAGAATAAATGCGAAACTTAATAAAAAGGTATAATGAATTAATCCCTGAAAAGCTCTACTAAAATGCTTAATTTAGTCAATTTAGAGTCATTGTTTCATGTAACATCTATTGGAGCACACATTTTTGAAAAGCTCAAAGTCCTTACAAATTCTTGGTTTGCAAAAAGAAATTCTCTTTCATTGATGAAAATATATCTCTCAAGTTATATAAAGTGTTTATTAGACCACACCATAAATATACAGCATCTATTTGAGCTTCTTATTTAAAAAACTTATAAAACCTTGATTGAATCTATGCAACGTAAAGCAACAAAATGGACTTCCAGTTTTAGACATCTGTAATACTACGAAAGACTAAGAAAGTTTACAATCATTGACTAAGTGTTTTGGTTGGGGCAACGATAAGCTTAGGGTTAAGAGAAAATTTCCACACTTTTTCTCTGCATTTTACTTATTGAAAATTTCTGCATTTTTGCATTTTACCCTTATCCACAATAACATATGATTTAAATTGCTCATTTAAAAATATAATAGCAGCACTTATGTATATTTGATATTACCCATTAGCGTAGTAACTGCAATAAGATCTTTAAGCACATTAAAACATATTTAAGGACAGTGGCACAAATCATTTAGTCTGCACTTGGCCAAATAGCTACTGAAGCAGAAATAACAACTCAATTAAATTTAAAAGGTGTTATTGACCAATTTGCAGCTATAAAGACAAGAAAAAAATTACATTTTGGTTTCTATTTATTTAAATCAAAATTGTATTTAAAAATAAAGTTTGTATTCTCATGTATAATTATTGTCAAGAAAAAGGAATAGAATGGGAAGCAGAAAAGTAATTTAGGGGCCCCGAATAAAATTTTGCGGGAGGTCTGTTTTTTGTCGCTACGCTACTGACTGCAATAAGTCTGGCAAGAACAACCTCAGGTGAATCTCTAAGACAACAGCAATATGAATTTCTATGATAACAGCAGTAATTCTAGCTATTCTTTTTCTCAACTGATTTTTGTTTCAATTCCAAAAATTTTAAAATTTTAATATCTTCAACTTTTTCAAGATGATAAATCATCGAGCTTGTGGCTGCTGGTTAAAACGTTGAAGAGCAATATTTGCACTTGAAAATGGAAACATTTGAATGAATCAAAACGTTTCTAACTTTCAGAACATTTTTTCAGTTGGTATGATCGACTGATTTTCTATTTTTATAATCTTTTTTAAATTTATTATGTTTTCTAAACGAAGTAGTTATGTTCTTTAGCACATTAAAAGTAAATTTATTATGTTGTTTTTATTTATAATGAGAAATTATGTCGCCACCACACAGTTGAAGAATTGTTAAATTGACATTGTTGGCTGAACAAACGAGAATAAAATGTTTTTTTACTTTTAAAAAAACTGTTAGTGTGCAAAATTTATTATTAATTGAATTATTTAAATAACCAAAAAATTATTTAAACAATTTCAAATAAAATAAAATTATTTGATTATTTAAATAATTATTTATTTGCTAACAACCCTATAATATATTTATTCACAACTGAATATTGCTTTTATCTTTAAGGAACTTATAAAAGTATTTAATTATATTAAAGATAAATAATAATAAAATAAAATACCTATAATAAAAACATAATTATAAAAAAGGAAACAAAAAATGATTTATAACTACTTCAAAGTTAATCTATATATTTAAAATAATAATTATTATTAATTATATAATTATTATTAAGTTAATTCTGTTATGATTATTAACATGAACAAAAAGCTAAAAGATAAATTTATTTTACTTCATTACCTATAAAATTATTGTTTTTTAAATAAGTATAAAAATCTGGGTCAAATCCAGATATCTATTTAATTGATAATTTTTTATCTAAATCCAGATCTTCCTTTCCAGATAAGAAAATTAATCCAGTTGTTCTGATATTTTGCTCCAATTCTATGACGCAACTTTTGTATAGTGATTAAAGTTCATATTATGTATGATTTTTTTTAGGGTCATACTAATGCAATAAATCATTTGAAATTCAGTCCTGACGGGAGATGGGTCATATCAGCCGGTGAAGATGGAATGGTCAAAGTAAGGTTTTATAAACAATGTATAGGTATACAAATGCAAGGGATTTTTATCAACTAATGTGCAAGAAAAATTTTTCTTTTAACTATTAAACAATTGTAGTTAGATAAGTTACTTTTAATACAGGCTTGGTCGGGAAGCGGGAGCGATCGCTCTCGATTGCTGACCGCGTAAATAATATTTAGTTGCGAAAAGCTGCCCAGATTTTTTAGCCGTTTTGAGAACATTTTAAAAAACAAAAAAAAAAGCGACAAAGATTAATTGGACCGATGAGAGACAATTACAAAAAAAAGAAAAATAGGCAAATAAAATATCTTTAAACGCGAAAAAACTTAAAGCTAAATAAATTACATTTAGAACAAATATTTTCGAAACATCGCTCTTTTACAATTTTTTTTATAAAATTAAGCGATGTTTTTTTATATAAAGTAACAACTTACGATTGTTTAAAAGGGAAACAAATATTTTTTATTTAACTAAGTTTGCAAGTTTTAGTTTTACTTAAGCTAAATTATTTTATAAATAAAAAAGTTAATTTTTTTAATATTTATTTTATGTTTCGCGTAGTTTGAAAAGTTTAACATATTTGAAGCGATTCTTTTTAGTAAGATAAACAAATGAAATAATTAAATCATTGAATTACTATAGGAATTAAATTATCAAGATAGAAATCAACTAAAAAGTTTAAAAATACTTATTGACCAGGAAGCAAAACTGCTTCACAATATCGCTAATGATGTTTAGTGAGTGGGCTTTCTAATTTTAATTAGTATTTAAAGCAGAAAAAAGTATAACGAGTTTTAAGAATGGCAACTTAAGCGAAAATAATTAGTGTTAGTGAACCAATATCTAAAAACTTTTCTTTATATCTAATTGTTTGCTATATATATATGTGTTCTTTCGTGACCTCAGGTGCGATGCTTGTTCATCCGCGAGTTACTTTGTATGCGTTGTTTGTGTTTAGTAACCAGAAACTTCTTATATGTTTGTTACATAATTAGTTTTATTAACTTTAACGATTATAACTTCATTGAAAACGCAATTATTTTTGTCTTTGTTTAAATCATGAAAATTGCTTTAAAAGATACATTACGATAAAAAACAAATACACAAAATTACATTTACATAAAGAATACAATAAAATAAAAAATAAGAATATACTAATAAAATCTATGATTTATAATAAACTTTTAAAATTTTGACAACTTAATTAATATATATTTAAAACATTTATTTTTGTAAACAAATAATAAATATTTTTAAAACAATTATGCTAAAAAAACGTAACAAATCGTGAATAATACAAATTCTAAAACATTTCAACAGAATACTCTAGAACTTTATTTTGCTTAATCAGCATATTTTTTGAACCAATAGAATTAGTTTGTTAGTTAATTTAGCGGGTTTTTAGTGTTCGCAAATATTCTTATTATTCTTTCGCACAAAGATGTTTTGAGAACATTCAAGTTTTTTATGTTTCCATGTATGTCCGTAAAACAAATTTTTTTTGTTTCGCATATTAACTTAAATGTTCTCAAAACGAATAAAAAACCTGGCCAGTTTTACGCAACTAAATATAATTTCCGTAGTCAGTATTCGAGAGCGATCGCTCCCGCTTCCCGACCAAGCCTGTTTTAATATTTTATTTTTTTTTAATTGTTATTCTGATTTGTATATATAAACTATAAAAACTATATGATAAGGTAATTTATTGTATATATGATAAGGTAATTTATAAATACTGTTTAATGACAAATTTTTAAGTTACAAAAACTGTTATGTTCTAAAAACTATTGCAAAATTCTTGTTGAAACTACACTATAGTTGAAACTACATAATGAATTGCTAAAATATTTTTCTTTTTTAAGCTCTGGGATTTAAATGCCGGAAAGCTACTAGCTGATTTTATTCTTCATGCTGGACCTGTTAACTGTGTTGAATTTCACCCAAGAGAATTTCTAGTGGCTACTGGATCTTCTGACAGGTATTGGCTTTATTTTTGTTAATGTTTACGTTGTTTTGCATTTATTTTCATTTTTATATTGATTGTTTTCAATAAATTTGTGTTGGTAAATGAAAATGCTCTTGAAACTATATAGCAAAATGTATTTGTATGGATGAAAAAAAGATAAATAAAAAGTAGTAATAAACAACATAATATTCCTTTAAGTTATATAGAGTAAAAGAAACTAAAAAGCTTTTTTATATTTATGCAAATAAATAATTACTCAATTAAAATTGTTTTTTAATTATACTTTTTTACTTTTTAGTTTTGTTTTGTAGGTGAGGTAAAAATGCATCCAATATAAAATATGTTCAAATGTTTTTGCTTTTTTTTTTCTCTCTATTCAAGATTTAAAATTTTTTATTGTTTTGAATATATTTTAGTGTTTATGTTTTGAACATTTTTTAGTGTTGATGTTTTGAACATTTTTTAGCATTTAAGTTTTTAAAGTGTTTAAGAATTTATGCTTTAAAAAAAATGTTAAAAACATAAAAGCTCAAAATATAAAGACTAAATTATATTAAATAAAAACTAAAAAAATACTAAAACTATAAAATCTTTTTTAAAGATTTTATATAATTTTATTATTTTTCAGTTTTTATATATTTAATATAATTTAGTTTTTATATATATTTATAGTTTAGTCTCTATGTTTTGAACTTTTTTGTTATTAACAATTTTTATTGTTTATGTATTTAGCAGCTTTATTTTATATAGATGCTAAAATTTTTAGGAATTAAAATTTTGAACATATGCAAATGCTAATTGCCATAGTTATATATATGTGTGTGTGTGTATGTATATATATATATATATATATATATATATATATATATATATATATATATATATATATATATATATATATATATTTGTTTGTATATATATATATATATTTGTTTGTATATATATATATATATATATATATATATATATATATATATATATATATATATATATATATATATATATATATATATATATATATATATATATGTGTGTGTGTGCGTATGTGTATATGTGTATGTATGTTAGTCCATCTCATTTCGACTCTCATGCACAAATTTTTATTCATGGAGTGTCATAAAATGTTGCCAAAGTATTGTTTTTTTAATCGAATTTTTTTAATTTTTATTTTGGATGACTATTTATACTCGCGCCACTCTTTTAAAATTTAACTTTTTTTACATTTTTGAGTTTTTAAGGGCATTTCATTGAATATGAGCTTGTTGCAGAGGTAAATTTTAAATAATAATAAAACCATTACAATAGTAAATGATCATTATCTTCATCATCATAACCATCATCATGATCAGGTTTTAGCTTTCCTCTTTTATGCTGTTTCTCTAATCATGGTCAATGCTCAAACGAGTTATCAACTCTATTACGATAAGCCAAAACTCATTCTTGCCTGACTTCTTATTTAACAAGTTGCATCCTTTTACTGTATCTGTCCCTTCATGCTATAAAAAATTTTATTAATCCATATTTTTTCCATGCACATCAAAAAAACCTTATAACTCTTACCCATCTTCATGTTTTCCTTTTTTATACAACCTGGAACTTTTTAAGTCTTCAGTTAACCGTTTCTTAGCTTTTTAACATATACTCTATTTTAAAGTAACTCGTAACTTAATAGTGGTTGTTTGCAACCTTGTTGGAAGTAAATTAGAACTTAAAAATATGTAAATTTAAGCCAGTATTTAATAAATAGTAAATGTAAGTATAAATATGTAAAAAATTATAAATATTTTTCTAGTCCCTGCTACCAACCTCTGCTAAATCTTATAATTTTGCCATGGTCGGAATTGCAAAAATAGATCTTTTCGTAAAACATTCAAAGCAGAAGAACAATGGAAACAAGAAGCTAGCTACAGCAACTGCTCCCTTGCTATTGTTAACTATTGTCACTATGGACTATGAGTCAATAACTCAAGACAATTTGAATGGTTCTAATAGTTTGAATTTTGTTCCAATGCCTAACTGCAAACTCTGAACTTCAAAAATACATTTAAAATTACTTTTTTACATATTTTCTTGAGATACTTGTCCAAAGCTGAAAATTTTTCTATATATATATATATATATATATATATATATATATATATATATATATATATATATATATATATATATATATATATATATATATATATATATATATATATATATATATATATATATATTTATATATATATATATATATATATATATATATATATATATATATATATATATATATATATATATATATATATATATATATATATATATATATATGTATATATATGTATATATATATATATATATATGTATATATATATATATATATATATATATATATATATATATATATATATATGTATATATATATATATATCAGTGGTTACACTCAGATTTTAGTCGGTTGTCCGGCAGTCAGCTAAAAGTAATAATTTAGCTAATCTTGGTTGCCTGCCAATATTTTGAGTTGGTTGTTATCATTAAAAAAAAAAAAATTGTTTATGTCTTAAATGAGTTTTTTAGTGGGTGTTTTCATTTGGAATAAAATTATATTATTGTATTTGATGAATATCAAATTATAAAAAAGATCTTTATTAATAATTATTTTTTTAACTTATATATTATATACAATATATTTATTGTATGAAAACTATTAATGCATTTATAAAGTAGCGTTAAAAAGGTATTTTGATTTGTGTCATGTTTTATGTAACTAAACTTTAAATGAATTAGTCAAATAAATGAAATATTTATTTATACATATTTTATTGCGCACTCACGTTTTTAAAGAGAGAAAGAAAAGTTTTTTTGTAATTAAACCTTGAACAATAATGAAAAGATAAAATTGCTTTCAATTTTATAACACAAATAATAGCCTAAGTATTAATTCTTAAATTGAAAAGCACAGAGTTTTTTGTTTTTTTTTGTACAGGAATACATAAAAAAAATATCATTGAATAAATTAACTGAATTCAACATCAGAATCTATTTGCAAAATATGTAACATTTTTAAAAACCTACACCACTCATTAGCCATTCTGCATAAAAAATGGTTGTTGAAAAAAAATATGGGATTGTCTAATGTATATGGACATTTAAATTTATTTATGTGGACATTAAATTATATCAAATACAGTGTACTAAATAAAACTTATTATATTTAGTATTATGTATAATTACATACTTATACCTAAGGTTCAGTTACATCTATTATCTCTTTATTTCTTCCTTTTCTTTATCTCTTCCTTATATCTTATATCTTTATCTATTCCTTAAGTTAAAATGCATCATGTTTAATTTTCAGAACTGTTAAGTTTTGGGACTTGGAAACATTTGGTTTAGTTTCTTCTACTGATGTGGAAGCTAGTGCTGTTAGGTAAATTATGAAATTTTTTTTTCTGCTTTGCTGTTTTTGTTGTTTTTATTATTGTTAATTTTTTTTTGCTGAAGACATTTAGTTGAATAATTTATTTAGAACTATTTGTTTTCATCCTGATGGATCGTGCCTCTTCAGTGGAGGACTTGATTCCCTTAGGGTATTGTTTGTTTATTTTTCATTTTTAGCATACATCTGTATATATTTTCTTTTGACTAAAGTTAAATCTTTGCTTATGTTTGTAAAAGTAATACAATTTTACTCATTTAAATAGGTTTATGCATGGGAACCAAGTTGTTGTTATGATGCTCAAACACTGGGATGGGGCAAGGTTGCAGGAATGGCTTTCTCCACCAACCAACTGGTAGACTTTACATATTAGTTTTAGTATTTGTCATGTAGTTCACAGTACTTTACCACATTAAATAACATAGATAAACTTAAAGTTTTTCTTTTTAAGTTCATTTTTAGTAAAATGTTTTACTACATGTATTTTTTTTTTTTTTTCTGAGAATTATTTTTTTTTTATATAGTTTTTAGTTTGTTTTTTTAATTATATTTGTAAGAGGAAGTATAGATGTTTAAAAAAAATTGATTTAATTGCCATAAATTTCCCTTTCCAAACAAAATCACACTTATAGTTGAATAATGTTGCTTGTTTTGGAATTTCAAATTTTTTTTTTTTGATTAAATAAATTAAGTATATTGATAGGTATAATAAAAAATGCTGCTCTTTTTTACTTTGTAAATGTTTTTGTACGGAATAAGGGACAAGTGTACCTAATTCTGAACGTACATATCAAATCCTAAAAATAGCATCCAATTTAAAATAGTTATATAAATACTAGCGTAACTACGTCTTGACTAAAGTTAAGTAAAAAGATTTTTAAAATATTAGATTACTTTTATATTTAATATATAAGGGTATAAAATTGCATTGGTACAGTGTGTGCATTATCCATTTATTTGATCTTTTTTTTTTTTAGTAATCAGTTAAAAAAACTTTATTTTTTTATTATACAATAGTTTTTGATTTTACATTTGATTTATGCATATTTTACAAAGGATAATTTTTTATTAGATTGGTGCATCTTTTCAATCTACTAATGTATCTGTTTGGGTTGCAAACATGCTGGTTAGAATATTATTCTATTTTTAAAATACAAATTTGTAAACTTGCTTTTTTTTTTTTTTTTTTTTGCATATTTATTTAAGTATTAAAAGAAGTTTTTTTTTTGCATATGAATTTAAGTATTAAAAGAAGTTTTTTTGGTAATTTAGGATTTGGAAGAAATCATTTCTAGGAGTGCCATGCAACCACCTTTTGAAAAAATTGATGTTGTAAGATTTCTAAAATTAAAAATTTATTAATAGTGAGATTATACAACTCTAAATATTTACATGGTAACTTTTATTATGTTATATATGCATATATATATATATATATATATATATATATATATATATATATATATATATATATATATATATATATATATATATATAATGCTTTACATAGAAGGAAAAAGAACCTGTAAAACATGTGGAGTCAGTGTTAGATAAAAAACAAAGGTAATTTTATTTTAGAATTATGATTTTCATTAAATAGTTTTGTAAGCCTTTTTTTTTTTTTTTTTTTTTCTTTTTTTATGATGATATTAAAATCTAAAATTATTAAACTACAAAAAAATTAAATAATTATTTTAAAATTTTGTTCATACATTCTAGTCCCCAACGAAAGTCATTTAATACAAGACCAAAAACATCATCTACCAAACCAAAACCATCGTAAGTCATAGTTTCCAAATTTTTTTGAACTTAACAATTTGAAAAATTTTGAAAAATGATTTAATGTTTAAAAATAAATTCTTACTTAGTCACTCATGTCATTCTGTGCTTTAATCTTTTTTTAAAACATAAAATTCAATATCTGAAAAAAATATTAAAATGTAATATAAAAAAGTAAAATGTAGTATGAAATTCAAATAAATAAATAATTTTAAACAATTATGAATTGGAAAACAAAATTTTAAAAATATTTGTTTTTATTAAATATAAATTGGAAAACAAAAGTTAAAAATATTTGTTTTTATTAAATATATGAAAATAATAAAATTGGCTTATTAAATATATTATTTAATTATTTTTTTTTTTTTTTTATTTTTTTTTTTTTTCTAGGACAATCATATTGTAGTTAAAATTATCTTAAATTGCTTAATGCTAAAATATTTTTTAATTTTTAAAATTTTTTTATAAAATATTGTATTCTAAATTATTATTATTAATATAGTTTATGTTAAGATATTTTGTCTAGATATTGTGCATTTCTTTAGAAAAGACTCTCAAGTGCTTCCGGATGCTGTTGTGCAAAAAATTAATGATCCCAATATTAATTATGAAGCAGTTTTTAATCCACTAAGTGCACTTAGTAAGTTTGACAATAATTTAAAAGTTAATAACTCATTATTTATTACCTATTTTTTGGACAAAAATTAATTTAAAGATGTAATTTTGAATAAAACAAAAATATGTATAGGTCGATCTCCAAAACTTAATAAAAAAAATGTTCAACCTTTTGCAGTACCAAATGAAGATCCTCAATCATCAGGTTTGCTATGTTAACATCTAGAGTTCTACTAACAAAAATTTATTAAAATTTTTAACATGTTGTGTGAATTAATTGCTCAACTATTTCTTTATTTTTATTTAGGACAAGTAGATGTAAGTATTAGATTATTTACTAATTGCAAACTGTTTCTATAGTATTATATTTGTTTTTATACTCTTTGTAAGCCCTTATTATAAATAATATATATTATAAACTAATTTGTTATTTAGTAAATACTTATATAAATTGAAACATTATTTCTGTAGTCTTCAATTAAGCCTTTAGAGAAGTTGCCACCTCCAGTTAAGCAGTCAGCTCCTATGGTTGTTCCGGTACAACTGCCTCCTAAACAACCTGTTTCTTACATGCCAATAAATCGTCATCAAGCTTTAATTGAGCCATCTCAACAAACTTACGTTGTTACAAATGCTGAAGCTTCAAATGCTCCATCTACTTATTATCCACAGCAACTTCCTTCTAACGACTATCCAATTCAGTACCAACATCAACCACGTGTTTCTCAACCTATACGAAAACAGTCAGCTCAGCAAGGTCCAGCTTTAATAAAAGAAATGGATAATTTGAATTTGGATAATTTTTCACAGGTTTCAATCTCATTCTTTTAAAGATTTTAATAAAATTATTTTTTATTGTGTTTGTGTAATTTGAGGTTTTATTGAAGAGTTTCTAGTAGTTTTTTAAGTGTTTTGTTTAGAAATGCGTAAAATTTAATTCGCTAATAAGTTAAATAATAAATTATTAAAAATAAACATTAAGTTTAACTTTTCTAAAAACCAATTTTTTTAAACCTGGGACTGTAATAATAAATACAATATTTATCTGTAACATTTATAATATCTGTTATATAATATTTGTTATATATGTAACATACATGTTACATATACATCTGTTACATGCACTGTAAAACTTTACAGTGAAAATAACAGTACTATACCGTTACCCATAAGTGCCGGTATTGCACTGTGATTATTTTACGGTAGAACACAAGGAATAAATCACGGTAAAACGCTGTTATTTTAAGGTAGAATAACGTGATTTTTCTGTGATGAAACAGCGTGAATTACGGCATAGTGCCATGATTAATTTACAGAAATGCCTCGTTCATTTATTGTACAACATATTGTTCAATATAAATTGGTACAAAATATATTTTTACTATTTTCTAAAAACTTTTTGCCCATTTTATTTTGTCTTTTTTTTTCATTTAATTCAATTGTATTTAAATTACGTTTTTTTCAATTATAAATATCTATCAACATATATGCTTGTTTATATGCTTATGGCTACAAAAACACATCATGTTTTTAAAAATCTTTTCAGTTTACATTATTACTTAAATAAAAATAGTTATTCAAATAAATTAAAGGAATGTAAATAGGTTACAAAAAAATGCAAATTTAAATTGTGTGACATTAATATGACGTTATATAAATATTTATATTCAAGTTTAAGAACAAATCAAATTCAAAAAAAAAAAAAAAAAAGATATTATTGTAAAACTTTTGAAAATTCTCAAAAAATATAAATAACTACAAAATAAATTGTTTTTTCAAAGTTATATTTAGTAGTTTAACTACGTGGTAAATTCAAATATTATATCTTGCAAACTTCTGCAGTATTGACAGCAAAATTTTGCTTATTGATGAAGTCTTCTTCGTTCGCCTTGATTTACTCCCTTTTTCAGGGTGCACTAGAACGGTAAATAATATATGTATAAGCAATTGGCGTTTGAAAACATTCTCATCAATAAATAAAAAATACCATTAAAATCAAATATAATATAAACTTTAGAAAATTTAAATAAATTTAATTCAACATAACATAAATATAATATACCATTGACAAAATTCTAATATTGATGAAGCTTCTTTTGGATATGGTATATTGAAAATATAAAAACTCAAAAACAAACAACAAAATGACTTGACAAAAATGGTCCTTCCATCAACTACAACAATGCAATCAATTACTAGCGTGAATCCATTTGCTGTAAATAGCAAATTTCCTAAAAAAAGAATGCAAGTTGACCTAAAAAAATCCACTTAAGTATATATAAAGAAAAATGATACAATTCATCCTTTTTTTACAAAATATGTTTCAAGTTTTTGATTTTCAAAAACTTAAAACATATACAAACTTGTAATTCAACATACCATAAACTTTTTCTCATCTAATGCTTTTATCAAGAGTTCACCAGCATTCACTCCACACATCAAAGCATCAAAGTGATGTAGCAAACCATTAACCTAAATATAAAAAATCAATTTAAATACATAGATATACTAAAGCTAAATAAAATAAACTTCTTAAAAAATCATATTGAATACTATAAAAATGAATTATCTATTTATTTATCATTATATAGATTAATAACATAAGTTATTTTATTTTTAAATAAAAAGAACTTACTTTACTGTAAATAAATTGGAGAATTTTATCAACAAATCATTTGACAAGATCTTTCCATTTATTTTAGTTTGTTGTAAATAGTAATGGAGTTCTTCAGGACTGTTTGAAACACTGAGAACTGGTTCTCAGTTTAAGTAACCATAACTATCATATTTTTTTTATGACATCAACTAATAATTGGGATCCCTCTGTCATGATCCCTACCAATTACATCTAAATGTTCTTTAATGACGTAAGCAAACAGCAAGAATATCATTCATAATGATGCTTATAGTTGCACAACGATGTGCTGTTGAAGGTCTTTCTCCAGCTACAAATATATCTTGTGCCTCTTTAGACATTTTAGCCCAAGATACAAAAAATCTCAAATACCAATTAGCAGCACTTACATGTTTAATCTTTATTGCTAGACAGAATTAAAACTATATTTAAAATTGAGCAATTAAATATTTAAAGAACTTTAAATATTTATAATTTTAAATATATATATATATATATATATATATATATATATATATATATATATATATATATATATATATATATATATATATATATATATATATATATATATATATATATACACACATTTAGGTTAAAGAAAGCAGTAAATTAATGTACAGACGACCCTTCTACTTTTAGGTTGAAGAAAGCAGTAAATTAATGAAAAATGAAGAAGATAATACATTGAGTATTCTTGAACGAAGTAAGACTTTTTTATTTAATTCATTGTTTTTTGAAAAAAAATCTAATCAACTAATTATTAACATTTTTTTTTAATAAAAGATCATACTTCTTTGTGTCAAATATTGCAAGCAAGGTTGCAGAACTTGATGCTTATTAGTAGGCTATGGACAGATGGGGATATAAAGGTTGTTTAATATATACACTTTGCAATAGTTTGGTTATTTATACTTTAAATAAAAATAATAATTGTTACAAACGTTTTTATTTTTAAATGAATACTAATGTTATGAATACTAATGTTATTAGGCTGCTGTAGAAACTGCTGGAAGTATGGCTGATCAATCAGTTTTTGTTGAT